TGCAGACAAGTTTGATTGGCTGCAGCATAATTACTTACCTGCGGGCATTAATTTGTTGGTTTGATGAAAAATATGGACTTGTCTTTTACAACCATAACAAAACATTTTGCTGGTAGTAATCAACATATATGGATAGAGATATTGGCCGTGTGATTCATGTTTGTTTATCAGTGAGATAAACATGCCAAATTATGCTCTTGTGTATCTCAAATTGATACATTTTCAAATTTTGTGTTGTTCATGTCATAAAGGCATATCAAAATGTAGAGGATTGCCATCCACGTTTCCTTTTTTTTCTTCTCGGTGTTCAGAGCCCAGTGGCTCCCAAATCTTTGAGACTTAAAGGTATGTTGCTCGCCCTCCGGGGTATGCACTGTACTACTCACTGCCCTCATATCGAACACTGTGACTTGTGAGGTTGACCGTGACAAACGTGGCAAAAATTAATTCCGAAGTGAGTCACATGTAAAATTTGGTTGTGTACCAGGCATTAACGCTAGAACAGGCATGTGAACCGACACGCACACGTACTCCAACACGCACACATACTCCATTTGTTTGCACTACACTCGCTGGTTCTAAACGGCCTCACACTTTGGTGCTCTATAGAACTCAGAAGTGAAACTGCACAATGTACATTTCACAAGAAACACAGACCAAACAAACTAGACAAAAACACGTCTAAAATGACCATAATGTTGGAGATGTATGGTTGTCTGCGTTATTTTGGGGGAGTTTTGGAATTGTCAAGGTCTGGTGCTGCCATGTGCATGAAGGACACACACACATGTACATGGAGTCCTGAATGAGCCATTTTCCTGGACTTTCCCTTGTGCCAGCCAGTGTGCTGTACAAACAGGATGCGGCTCTGTCAGAATGTAAGGTCTGATCCGGCAATTGCAATATGAACAAAAACATTACACCATGATTGCACTGGCGTCAGATCCGGATCTGATCCGTCTCGAATGGGGGATCCAGATCAGACCCTGATCCACCTCCCTTTAACAGTTTGTTGATT